CAACGCTCTGCACCAAGTATCGGGAATCTGTTTTTATCCTTAGTTTCTTGATGCCCGCCTTTTTGGCCTGTCGAGCTGCCATAGTGGCTGCTTCGATTTCGGAAGCGTTATTCGTTTGACGTCCGTTATAACGTCGAGAAATGTTTAAAGGATTATCTGGACCAAACCATACGTCAATTCCTGCTTTTGGACTGTATCCTCTATTTTCGCAGCAGGCTCCATCAACGAAAACGTCCGTGTACGAATCAGGGCCTTGACTCTGAGGGGCGTTAGTTTTGAGCTTAGGTGATTTGGGTGGAGTAGTATAGACAGGAAGATGAGGGAAAGCACTATAGTCTTCTCGGAACACCGGGGGATCCGAATCTTCATCTGTTCCTTCCTCCGATTCTTCTTTTGCACTTTCATCACTTGATGATGAATAGGACGGTTCCTTAGTTGTATCCTCTTTTGGAGCAGTGGTTCCTCGGGGTCGTAGTCTGTTGGCGATGCAGCTTTCGTCCGCTTCACTAACGGAGATATCCTGCGGGGGTCGATAGGTTTCGTCACTATCATCCATTGCAGATTTGGTACTTCCAACAGGTCGCCCTCGACGAGGAGGTTCCTTGGCAGCCGTCTTAGTGGGACGCAGTAAGGTGGTCTGCATTTAAGTTGTTAGAATATAGTTAGAATAGAATTTTAAATTCTATAAACGTTATTTAATATAACTGCAATAATTTTACTTTCAAGTTGAATAACTTATTATTGAATAGAAGTAGTATAGAAATTAATCTTGAAGTGAGTAATTTTGAATTTAACTGAATTCCAGTGTATGACATTTTTTTGTGAAAGAATAGTAAGAATACATAACCTTAAAATTAATAAATTTGAAATATTTGAAAGTTTAAGAAATCAGTAATCTTACTTGAAAGAAATTTAATTTAAATGCAATATTGTTAAAAAGAATAGTCGCATAATAGATTATCTGCTTGTTCTAATTTTTATAAAACACCATCTTTTTTTAACAGAAATTTTTAAAAATGTAATATGTATGTCATTGAACTGCATTTTAATGAAATTTATATTTTCTAAAAAGTGTTTACAGCAGAATTATTATTCCGTCACATTTTTATTTATATTTTTTTTATTCAATAAAATTTATATTTAATGTAATTTACACTTAACTAAATGTTTGTTAAATAAAATTTTTACTCAGCCGAATTCTGAAGTGTTCAAAATATGGTTTAGTAAACTTTTTAATTAATAAAAGTAATATTTTTATTAAAGTTTAAGTAATTAAAATATATTTATTTCTACATTGATATTCCAAGAATTCTCAGTTCGATGAAATGCTATTTAAGAGAAATATTATTTAAAAGATTTGCTTTTTAGCATAAATTTTGTTTAATAGAGTTATTTGTTGATTGAAAATCTAGTTGAAATAATTCTCATATATAATAAATGTTATTTAAACTATTTTTTTGTTTAGAAAACTTTTACGTAAACAAATTATTATTTGATAGAAAATTCATGTTGTCTACTTTTAATTTGATCGAATTTATGTTTTTTCAAAATTGAGTTTGACATATTCTCAATATAGGCGAAAACCAACTTGATATAAATGTAACTGACTATAATTTGAAGTTGGCCGAAAACTGTTTATGGTCCGAGTTTCCCTTCTATAGTGTGTTACTTTTAGATTCTGAGGGCGCCACTTAACATTTTCATCACGTGTACAATTATTGTGTGCGAAATTCAAAATAATTCGAACATGCGCAACATTATTAAAGGTAAGTTTATTAAAAAATATTATTTAAATTTTACTTTAATAATATTTCTTTAGTTTTCAAAGTGTTTATTGATTATCATATTTTTTAATAATAATTTTAAAAAATAGTATACTCTTAATGATGATAGAAAATCTCGATAGATGTCACTGCAATGTCGGATTAAGGATAATTTTTTTAAATTTTTAAATTTTTCAAGTATTTGCTGTAATACAAATTGGTTAGTAAGAAAATAAGTTGATTAACCCTTTTGAAAGTTTATAATAAAATTTATTTTTAAAAAACTTGTTTTATTTATTCAAGTAATTTTTTTTGTTAAACATTAGGTTTAAGGGATTAAATAAATTCTAATGAGTTTAATTAATTTTTTTAATGTTTAAATTTCCTGTTTTGTTTTTTTTAATTTCAGTAGGGGAGAGTAGGCTACATTGAACCAGCGTCAACAGTGAACCACTTCAATTTTCTGAGAAATGACTGAGTGAAATTTTTTCTTATTTAATATATAAGTTAGTTTTACTGAAACAAACTATGTCCAAAAATTTCGGGCACGTAGGTTTATTATTTATAAAGAAAAACCAAAAAAACTGTTTTTCACGTACAAAACAAAAAATTTTGTGGAAATATAATCAAGTTTCTTTTGAAATAGGAAGTTTTAAAAATTAGTAAACTTGTGATTTATTTAGCTTAGGGTGCCAACTTCAATATTCCGATGTGATAAAGAATTTTAACTCTTACATAAATTTATTATAAACAATTTTTGTTGTGAATGTCATGTGAATACAGTGAGTGCGGCATCATTGAACCACCCGAAAAAGCAAAGAATTTTCAATTTTAAGAGTTGTAAAGTTGTCTGCTCTACTAATTAGTAAGCAAAATACTGGAAGACATGCTTTCATCACAATTGTGAACGAAATAAACTCAAACTGTCACTTTACCTACCTAACCTGACATCAAAATATATTAATCTCCTATATTAACAAATAATAACTCTTTAACAACAATTTTCTATTTTTTTGAGTGAAAAATAAGATTTTTTACAATGTGTAAGTAGAAATATTATTTTAGAAGTAAATTGTAGTGTTTTATTAAAGGTGGTTCAATGTAGACACACATTCTTCAAAATAAGAAAAGTGTAACTGGCTAGAAAAAAATTAAATTTTATTATTTAATCATAATAATTTGTGTTTGTAACGTGTGTATTAACTAAAGGAGTACTTCAGCTTAATTTTGATACAAAAACCTGATCGAAATTAGTAAAATTTTATTAGTTCTTGGACTTTATAAAATACCCGGTTCAATGTAGCCTACCCTCCCCTATTTTTGTTTATTGGTTATTTGTATGTGTATTTCAATTATTTAGAATAAAATAACCATATTAATAAATTAATCATGCCTGATTGTCCTAAAATTAAAAAATTGTTGAAAGTTATGAAACAATCATTTTCTAACCTTAAACTTGATAGAAACACTTTTCTTATTTTTAAGTGAAATGTAAAAAAATATATCTTAATATTACAATAATAATCTGAATGTTTTTAACTGACAAAAGACTGCAAAGTAGAAATACTCTAAAGAAGTTAATTGATAACAATGTTTGGATTTTGACAGTATTCATAATGGGAACGTTTATTACTTATTTTAAATGTGTTCCTTTTACATAAACAAGTGATTGTGCCATGTTAAAAATGGCAATATTTCTTGCACTCGGGTTTTGACAATTGCATTAAAAGAAGTATTATTTTAAACATTTAAATGAATGACATTTATTTTTTTTAAACAAATATTTATTTATACATTAATATTTTTCTTACAATAAAAAATGTACCACAAAATTTTATAACACTTTTTTTATCCCCTCAACTTGGTTATCTTGTACATTATTTTACCAAATTAGAAGCGTAGAAAGGAAAAAAATGAAAAAATTTTGTACTTTTCTTTAAAATCTGATTAAATTGTAAAAAATTACACTTAATACAATAAATTACGCTAAGTTTTGTCTTAAATTTATGAACAGATCAACGGCTGAGAATTATATTAAGTCATGTTCATTTTTTTGAAAATTTTTTAATAATTGGTGCTTTTGATTCAACAAGTATAGTTGCATAAAAAGCACTAATTATTAAAAATATTTTAAAAATATAAACATGACTCTCTATAATTCTTAGCCGACGAGATGTTGAATTTACATATTCTTCTTATTTTTTTTAAAGTATTTTTTTCTAAATTTTTGTAAATTTTTTTTTGCCGTGTGAAAGTCTGGTCAAAACAGTTTTAAAAATTAAATGATACTTATGCAATTTTAAAAATTTCTTTGATTCAACTTTTACGATTTGGACTTTGTGGGAAAAATTATTTACTAAAACCGGCAAAGAAATTGAATTTTTTATTAAATAGTGATAAAAATGAGTTTAAGAATATTTTAAAATATTAATTATACATTTAAAGAAAATAATATTTTAAGAAAATTATGCAAAATCAATTTATATATAAGACAAAACATGACCAAATCTATTCCGTAGTGTGTCATTTTTTTATAATTTTAGTAGATTTTTTGAAAAAAATAGAGAAAATTTCAATTTTTTTTTCTACGCTACATGTTTTTTACACGTTTATGAAAAAGGAATGTCCCTTGAATTTTAAATGGTAATTCTGTGGAAGAAAGACATAACAGCATAACTGCATTTGTCATGATTTTGAAATAAATTAATTTTAATGTTCTCTCACTTCTGTCAATTCAGAAAATCAACAGATTTGTTCGGTCTTTTGCATTTAGTATTATTATTTAATATATTTTCAAAATTCTTTTATAACATTTAATAAAACACACGATTTGATATAAGTTTTGATAATTTTTCATCGGAATCATGAGTTTTATTGCACTTATGCGGTTATGCAAGTTCAGATTGTATATGAGTCCAACTTCAGACACTTTTAATGTCACAATTTGTTTTGGTTTGATTTGTCATAATAAAAAATTTTTTCATACAAAGACAAATTAAACTATTAATTCGTTAGAAAAAATTATAAGAGTTTATTTAGTTATAAAATTTATTTTTTTATAAAATGTTTTTAATTTATTGAAACGAAGAAAAAATTTACTTTACTGTTCAACTTGAAGAATTTTTCAATTTATTTTTTGAAATACTTTCCAAAATTTTTTAGAATAGAAATACTCTTAAAAATTAGTACACAATTAAATGCACAATTTATGCTATAAAAAATTTGTTCCAGTTTTATTAAAATAAATATATTTAATTTAAAGTACGAAAAATGTATTTTACTAAAAACATTTTATTACAAAATTCTTATTGTTTTTATTCATAAAGGTTATTTTCATTTTTAATTATGTCAATTGTTTTTTAAGCTGAATGCAGTTATGTTATTATGCTGGTCTCCTTTTGTCAAAAACGCAATTATGCGATTATGTTTTCCATTATTTTCTACATTAATTACTATTTTAATGATTTTTCAGCTATTGAACTTTGAAGAGCAATATTAAATATATACAAATCTAATGTTTTCTCAAATTTGATAAAAATGTCAGTTATGCTGTTATGCCTTTCTTCCACAGAATTTATATTTACTTTTTGTTTTAATAAAAAAAGTTTTACAGATATATCTGTATGGCTAGTCTTTCTTAATAAAAAATTCTATCGACAGAGGTGTATGGCGTTCGGCACATTGGACAAGTGTTATTTTGCTGACAATAATGATTTTTGCATTCAGTGCAAATGTTTAAATGCCCACACGGTAAAAAGCAAAATATTGGAGCAGTTTGCCGACAAATGCAGCAAACATTTACGCTTGCCAGTATAATATTTTCGAATTCTGATTCATCATCCATCACATCAACCTGGTTATCTTGTGTATCGATTATTTGATCTAAAACATTAAAAAAAATCTTGTCGAAATTACGTCATTCTGTATATCACACGTTGTAATACCATATTAGTAAATTCTTTTGTGGTTTTGACTATGTGCAGTCAAAAGCACAGAAGAATTTACTAATAAGGTAAAGATAACTTAATACTTACCAACAACCTCTACGTCGATTTGATCAAAATTGGCTCCAACAATGGCAGGATCAGCCTGAGCGTTGTTGGTTTCGTCTTCAATGTGCTCCTCGAGGGGATCTGGTGGATACAGATAAACATAGTTAGGTTATGGGTTTAAAATTATTAATTTTCCTATACGCTACAGCATGTAGGATAGTTATTGTTCATATTATTAAATTGTTTTGCGAATTTGATTACATACAGTCAAAAAGCACAGAAGAATTTACTATGGTAAAGGTAACTTAATACGATAGCAGGATCAGCCAGAGCGTCATTGGTTTCGTCTTCAATGTGCTCCTCGAGGGGATCTAGTGGACACGGGTAAACATGGTTAGGTTATGGGTTCAAAATTAGTAATTTTCCTTTATGGTACAGCATGTAGAATAGTTATTGTTCATATTATTAAATTTTTTTTGCGAATTTGATTACATACAGTCAAAAGCACAGAAGAATTTACTATGGTTAAGGTAACTTAATACTTACCAACAACCTCTACGTCGATTGGATCAAAATTGGCTTCAACGATAGCAGGATCAGCCAGAGCGTTATTGGTTTCGTCTTCAATGTGCTCCTTGAGGAGATCTAGTGGATAGGGATAAACATAAGTTATGGGTTCAAAATTATTAATTTTCCTATATGCTGCAGCATGTAGGATATTTACTGTTATTTGTCAATTCGCTATTTTAAATATAGTTACTATTATTATTATCCATATTAGTAAATTCTTTTGTAAATTTAACTATATGCAGTCAAAAGCACAGAAGAATTAACTTATAAGATACATAACTTACCAACAACCTCTACGTCGATTGGATCAAAATTGGCTTCAATGTTAGCAGGATCAGCCCAAGTATTATTGGTTTCGTCTTCAATGTGCTCCTCGAGGGGATCTAGTGGATACAGATAAACATGGTTAGGTTATAGGTTCAAAATTAGTAATTTTCCTATATGCTGCATCATGTAGGATAGTTATTGTTTTTTGTCATTTCACTATTTTAAATATAGTTACTATTGTTATTATCTATATTAGCAAATTCTTTTGTGAATTTGAATATATACAGTCAAAAGCACAAAAGAATTTCCTAATAAGGTTAAGGTAACTTAATACGTACCAACAACCTATACGTCGATTTGATCAAAATTGGCTCCAACGATGGCAAGACCAGCCTGAGCGTTGTTGGTTTCGTCTTCAATGTGTTCCTCAGGAGTATCTGGTGAATACGGGTAATCCGTTGCGTAATCTATAAATTTTATCAATATTTTGAAAAACTCATATTTTAGGAAAAGTAATAAAATTTTAATATAATTATTTTTATTTTGTTGTCTAGATATTATATAGATTTTTTTCTAAACGAATCGATTGTTTTAAAATTAGATGGGAACGACTTTATTCGAAATATAATGGTCTTATCCCTTACCAGAATTTATTAATGCAATTTCAATCCTTTCTTCGTTTATCATCTCATTATGCTGACCCATTATAAATTCCAGTTTTAATTCGGTATTAAAATATGTACAAATACCTACATAATCGGTTATAGACAGAATGAAATTTTCGAAAGCATTATATGCTTTTTTAATTCGATTGTCTGCTAATCGATTTAATACTGTTCTTGCCTGAATACCATTAGTAAATTCGAGTTGAAGGTTTTGGTAATCCGAGAAGGATTGTTTCTGTAGGTAGGTGATTCTTTCTAAAACTAAAATGTAAAAAGTTGTTTACTTTCAAAATTTTGAATTTAATTTCTTCTAGAATAAAATTAATAATCAAGCTTTAAGTTAAAAAATTTTTTTTTCATTCTTATAATTATGAGTTTCTTAAAAATTATGTTACTGAATATTAACAAAAAAATTTTATTTTCATAAATGTAACCCATTTTGATGATAAATCTAACTAGCATAATTGTAAAGTTTCATTGCCATTGTTATTTAAAAAGATTTTTTTAATTTAATGGAAACTATTTTTTAAATATAAAATTTTTCTATATCAGTTATTCTTTAAATAAAAAAATTAGAATTATTTCAACATCTTCTGTAGAAATTGTCAAAATATTTCTGTACAACAGAAATTTTTGTAATAATTCCATTATTTTTTTTATTTTCGAATGAAATTATATTCAAAAATACAAAATTTTAAAATAAATAATGTAGTTAAAAATAATTTATTAACATGAACTTTTAAATATTTTTATGCTTTTACAGCAGTAAAATTTTTAATATAATTTAATTAATTTTGCTTCCTCTTGAAGGAAGCCTTATAGTAATTTCGATTTTCGACTTTCTTAGAATCAATTATTTTTACAAATTTTCAAGTGTAGTATATATACTTTGTCGAGAGGAACAAATGTCCAGATGTATGTGGGTATGTATGTGTGTATGAGTGTATGTATGTCACCCGATTCTTGTGGACAAATTTTCTCTTACACGTTTTGACGAATCGATTCATGTATATAAAGTATATATTTTATCAATATTTATAAAATTAATCGATATTTCTATTTCTAATAAAAAATTCAAATTTTGTATTTCTTGAAATAACTTTTTTTATTAAAATTTTCATTAACTCTTGTCCAAATTGTATTCCTGTCATGATAGCGAATCGATTCATGTATATAAAGTGTATATTTTATCAATATTTGTAAAATTAATCGATATTTTTATTTTTAACAAAAAATTCAAATTTTGTAATTTTTTCTTAATACTTATATTTATTATATTTTATTTATTATATTTAATTATAATTTTTTTATAGAATTACTAAAATCGGATGAGGCATAATCAAATTAAACATACATTTAAAAAATCTAAAAAAAAAATTTTTAAATAAATAGAGGAAGCTAAATGATCATGAAATGAACAACTTGCTTTTTAAGATTATTATTATATATTAAATTTTTATGTTGAAAAAAGTTTTAAATAATTCAAAATTTTTTAAATTTAACACAATTGTTTGATACAATGAACTAATAATTAAAATATTATGTTCATATACTTACTGACGAAATCCCACACACTTCCGATTCCTCCAACCATTATATTTAATCGCGCAGCATACAACTCAAAAATCATGGTCCACCTGTATATTGTTCGGTAAATTGAAAATCGAGAAGTGGTGACTCCCTTAATCCAAACATCTCATTAAATTGATGCAATTTATCAAAGTTTTCACTAGACAAATGTGCTTTCATTTGGTTTAAGTACCTTTCTATTTCTGCTTCTGGTAAAAAGGGAAGAGTCAATATTTCCAACAAAAAATTTTTGATTTTGTCGCCTCTATTCTCGAGTAGATAAAAGTCCAAATTAAAAATGATAATTAGTCTATACACTTCCTAAAAATTTTAAAAATTTCAATTTTAATTAATAGATGAATCGTTGTGACTTAAAAATAAATGGCGCTTACTTATACATAGTTCAAGTCTTTTTTCACATAACTATTAATTTACAATAAAGTAATATTATTAATACGAAAAGAAGGTCCTAATTTCCTTGCCATAATTTAAAAGTATTTTTAAATTGGTTGAAGAAAAACGAAAATTTCGTAATACCCTCTAAAAAAATATGTTTAAATTGATTTAAAAGAGTTTGTGTCTTTTTTTAGCAATATCATTTAAAAATTAAAAACATCACTAGTAGAATATTTGCAGCAGATATTATCTTTAAGAAAAAAGGTATAATGAAAGGGGATGTAAATTTTATTTGTTAATTACTATTAATTGTGAATTGAGAATAATTAAATTTTATTGTTTTAATTAATTTAAATAATATTTAATAGATTTTAAATAATAATGCCTTTCAAAAATTAAAAGGGATTATGTTACAAAATCACGCCATAAACAATCTAAATTTGGTAATTAATAATATCATTATAGGAAATAAATTTATCACTTTAACTCTGAGATATTTCAACTTATATTGTTATTACGGAGAGCATTTCAGGTCAGTTTTCATTGATTATTTGAACATAGTAGAAAAAATTAGAAAAAATCCCTTATAGATGCAATAAGAATTCAGAATGACTCACATAAATACTTAATAAGAATAATAAATGTATTAATTAATTTACCTTCATGTAGTGTAGAAGACTGCCGTATACATTGACATCAGGAAAAACCTCTCTAATCGCAGATTGTAAGTTATCATCATATGAAGTGATTACAGTTTTAATAGAAAACTGAGGAGCAAGAGACCGTATTTCTTGTAATACTGCCTTGTAGACTTGCTTTGATTTACTGTTTGTAACAGCCCATGCACATGGAATTGCCTAAATAATTAAAACAAAAATGATTTAGTATATTTGTGAAAAACAATTGAAGATTTGAAAAAAAATTATTATATTTTTTTTAATAATTGCATTTTTTGAAAGAATTTTTCAAAAAAAATTTTAAATACCTAAATTGTATTAAGACAAATAATTAATTATACTTGTATTGAAAGTAAGTGAATTCTTTTTTTAATAATTAAATTGTTTTGTAAAAAACTTATTAAAATAGTAAATGTTAAAAATAATTAAATTGCAGCAAGAATACTTACATAGTTCTTTTTAACACAGAGCAAAGTTATTAATTCTTCGCCGAATACTGCTAAAGGAATGATTTTTTGTGAAACGTCAATGAAAAATTCCTCAGCATTGTTGAACACAGATTTCGCGAATTCGATGTCCATGAGTATAACTGCACAACTTAAGTTAGTGCCTTCTACGGCTGAGACATTTAAGTGTCTGTCATCATAATGTAAATAAGATTGAAATTCATTGGATTTGAAAGTTTCTACATATTCGAGAAGATTGGTTGGCGACTGTAACGGCCTGTGATTATTTAGACGGTTTAACATTGTTGAACGAATTGAATCGAATGGTATGCCTACTGCGGCATTTGGATGACTGGAAAAAAAGAAATATATTTTAATTGATAAACGTTTGTCTTTTAAATTTTATATTAATAATCATTGTATTCCTGTAATCTGTTTACATTTTGTAATTAGTAATTAATAGTAATAATTAACAATTATAATATTTTTCTAATCAACGTTTAAACTGAATAAGAAATAATTTAATAAAAAAATTTTAGAAAATATTTAAAACAAAAATAAAGTAATAATTAAAGGTGTGCATAAAGCTCAGTGCTCGATCGAGTATTTTCGAGCTTTTCGTTTTTCAAGGCGAGCCGAGCCGAGCTTTATAAAAAGCTCGAATAATTTCGAGTACTCGGTTTGATTAGAGCTCTTGAGTAAATCCGAAATTTTCAACTATAATTTTTAATTAAATTTTTTTTGTATATAAATTTTTTTTAATTTAAATGCTCGAGTCAAATTCAGTACTCTAAAATTTCATCGAGCTCAGCTTTTCGGGCTTTTTGCACACCTCTAGTAATAATATTTATAATAATAATAATAACTTACGAATTTTGTACAGTGTTATGTATCAATTCCTCGGTAATTATCAGGTGGATGAGTGTGGGCAATGGTATTTTGAAAAGCTCCATTTCTTCTTAATACTCCTCTTGCCGGACAAACCAAACTCCGATAATATTTACAAATTAGATATCTGAAAATATATTTATATTTAAAAATGACAAATTTAGTAATTTGTAATAATAATTAACTCCCTTTTTTTAATTCTTTTTTAAAAATAAAATTGAATGATAAATACGATTGGAAAATTTTAATTTAAAATTGAATGTAAATAAACAATTACTTACGTTGTTCCATATTTCATTTTAGTTTTGAAATATAAATGTCCATCGAACAGAAACAATCTTTTATTTGGTGCAAAATTCATTCTTTCAATTTGGTAGAATTTAAAATTTAAAGAAATTTATATATGACATTCTTTTTCGAATGTCATAATGAAAATTTTTTATTTCTTTAAATTTGATAAATTAAGAACAACTTTTCCAACTTCCACTTAATTAAATATTTTATATTTTTATTTTTAATAAGAATTTATTTTTTCTAATTTAAACTAAATTATTACAAAACTATAGTACTTTAACAGATTTCAAAATTTTTAGCAAATGATACTCTAACGTGAGAAACTATTGTTATAAAAAAATAATAAACAAAAATTGACATTTTATCTTCTTTATAAATTAAAAATTTCATAATAATTATTTTCGAAACTGTTTATGTTTCAATGAAAATACGCGTTCGGCCTTAAGTGTTTATAGTTTTTAACCTCTACTGCGGTTGTCAAGGATAAACTCGCAAGAGCGGGTAATACTTGAGCTGTTCGCTCTTCGGAAGTTCCAGTGAAAAAATTATTAAAAAAAAATTTTAATCTTACAGAAGATAAACTGCCATTTTACGTTTTACCGGTAACTTTATTATAATACGATTAAAAATTATAGCATAATAAATAAAAAAGAAATAAGTTTATGAAACATTTTACGTATAATGAAAAAAGAATGAAATAGACAAACTTTAAAGTAAACAGTACTTTCAATTACTTATTTATAGTTGTAGCATATGGATAGAGTAGGAATTTATTTCTTTTAAGTTTAAAATGTTTGAACTCTTTTTTAAATAAAATTTTCTAATGATAAATACCGTCAACCGGGGCTATTTTGTGCACCAAATAGCTTTTTTTTATTCAAAGATTTATTTAAATTCAGAATTAAGAGAATAAAGAAAATCAACTTTTGATATATGTTGTGGACATCCTTCTGAAGCTTTCCTATAAATTTGGCAAAGAAAAAAATTTGTTTGTCTTAGTTATAGTCATTGAAAGTCGTGCACACAATAACTCCCGGGATGGGGCTATTTTGTGCATCGAACTTTGTTTTCCTATAATGTTGCGTAAACATTTTTTTAATCGTTTCTGCTTCATGAAATCTTTTGTGTATATATTTGAGAGTAAGTTAAAAAAAGAATGACCTAGTAAAATTTTTTTGTAGATATATTATACAAAAAATGTAAAATAAAGCACTAAAATTTTGCTAAAATCTGAATTTACTAAAAATTAACAATCTTTCTTTAAATTGTATATTACGCAGATAGTAAATAACATTTTTTTCTTTTTTAATATATATTTTATAATAATATACTAATATAATTATAAAATGATCGTTTAAACACTTATAAATAACTTTGAAACATCATTTCAATAGGAGCTTTTTTAATAGTTTTGAATGATATTTTTAAAAAACTTAAAATAAATATTTTTAAGGTTAAATAGATAACAATTTAATATCTAATATGCTTTTCAAGTTATTTTAAGAGAAACGAGAAAATAGTTTTAAAACTAATTTGAAAAACTTATAAATATTAATTAATATTCATTTTTTGAGGTTACGTTGTGCACCGGTTGAGCTTTTAATCGTTTTAATGATTTTAATTAACGTATTTACAGTTTTCTGACAGAAAAGTAAGACAAAAATGTATTAAAATGATAAACAGAATCTTCTTTACTTACTAAATAAAACATTTATGAAAAATATTTGATTTTTTTAAGTGCACAAAATAGCCCCATGGAATTCTGGTTTTTCAGTTTTTTCCACTTTTCTCTTAAGATAAGAAGATAGAAGATAGAAGATAGATAGAAGATCTGGTATAATTTTTCCGAACTTTCAAAATTTTTTAAACAAATTTTCCGTTTTTAGGAATTTTTTTCTCTTAATTGACAAAGAATTAAATAATAACATTTAGTGCTCTCTATTGTCATGTAATGAAACTTTCATTTTACAAAATTGCAGATTAAAATAATTCATTTTAATAATTTTTTTCATCAAAAAACTCGCGTGCACAAAATAGCCCCCGGATGCACAAAATAGCCCCAGTTGACGGTATATAAAGAATATGAAAAATAAAAAATATTTATTTTTGATAATTTATTCCTTTATATTTTAACACGTGGTACTTGAAAAAGAAAATTTTTTTTTCAGAATTTAGTTTATTTTTTTCAGAATTATTACTTTCATAAAATATAATTACTCACCTATCATTTTCCACAATAGCTTCGCGTGGACCATTAGCTGCACTTTGTTCCACAGCATACTGTGGATTTTCCATTTTTAACGTTAATTTTTCCTGTACGAAAACTAAAATTTGCTTCGATGCCGAACTTACTTCTGTGCGCGACAGTAAAGACTTTAAACCAGACCGACACACCCCATACCCAAAATTCATTTTCTCCCTCTATTGCTGATTTTGACAAGTTTGGTCAACATTCAAAAGTTTGTGGCAACATTGTAAATTATTTTGACGTACCTCAACATTTTTGAACAGTAAATTGTAAAAAAATTCCACTGTGCCACGTTACACACTGTCCCATATACATTAGCGACATTTTTTCTATATAGGTCGTCACAAATGTCTTAAGTCCACCCCCTGTTCACGTGGCGTATTATGTGTACGACACCTTCTTTGAATCAAATAATTTTTTTCTTTTTGCTTCCTCGTCAGGAAGCTTTGTAGTCGTTTAATTTACAAAATTTTTAAAAATCCTTTTAACAAATTTTCTTCTATATAGGACTATGTTATATAACACCCTGAACAATTGTCCGGATGTATGTATGGATGTGTGTGTGTGGATCCCGATTTTTGTGAACACGATAACTCGAAGAGGTTTTAACGAATTTCGCTAAAATTTACCAGGTATATTTACCACAAAAATATCTCGAAATGGATTGATAGACTTTAAAAACTTCTTAGAAAAAAATTTCTTTAAAAAATTTTTTTTTTAAGTTGGTTATTGAAGGTAATATATAATAAAATTCTATTCTCTGCATCAAGACGAATCGATTAGTATATAAAAAGTATAAATTGTATGAGAATTTACAGAGTTAATCACAATTAAAGCTACAAAATTCGCGTTTTTATCAAAAAATGAGTTCTTTCCGCAAAATTATGTTGCCGTATAAGAAAATCTTACTCATTTATTTCTAAAATCTTATTCTTTGCACCAAGACGGATCGATTGGTATACATATATAAAGTATATATTGTATAGGTATTTAAATTTATAGAATTAAAACCAATTATAGACAAAAAATTTGCACTTTTAATAAAAATTCATTATTGAAAATTATAGAATTAATTACAATTAAAGTTGAAAAATTCACTTTTTTACTAAAAATTTGTTTCTTTATTTAGATTCATATTACTGTATAAGAAAATTTTATTCTTTCTATTAAGACGAATGAACTTTATTTTATAAATGTTAAATTGTATTAAAAATGATTTAAAAATGAAATACCCTGGAGCTTCACTTATTTTCAGTCTCACTTATTTGTAGTCGCACTTATTTTCACCATTTCCAGTCTCACTTATTTTCAGTTAAAAGGTTCTCCGTGCGTTCTCATTGGTTGATGTTAAAGAATCCACCAATCAAATCAACTCAAATGTTACGTTTCAGAGTGAAAATAAGTGCGACTTTGCCTTTCAGTTTGTTTGGACTTAGTGAAAATAAGTGAAGCTCCAGTGTATATCGTTAATGCTTCCTCCACGAGCAAGCAAATTTTTTTTGCTGATCGTAAAGAGGAAGCAAAATGTTCATGTAATGAACATCTGGATTTACAACTTGTTTTCAACTGTGACACACACCAGTACCAAATACTAATATCATGTTTATATACTGTTACAGGAGTTACGCCGGTAATAAAAATTAGCCCTGGCCCAGTATCGGCCCGCTAACAACATGTGACTCCAGTACCGGTCCAGTATAAGTATAACATCGTGTTAATACTGCGACAAGAGTACTGACCCGTACTGGTTTGGTAATATATGGTTAATCCTCTACTCCTGCACTGAAAAAAAATTTAATTGATTCAAATAACCGATTAATTGATTATTATCAATTAAATATTTAATTGAATCAAATAATATTTATTGGAGTCAATTGAATGGTATTTGATTCAAATACTGAAATTGTTGGTTCAAATACCATTTAATTGACTCCAATAAATATTCTTTGATTCAATTAAATTTTTTTTCAGTGTGTAACGGTATAAAGACGCGATATTAAAATTTGGTAATGTGCCGGTACTAGTTTTATTGCAGGAAATACTTCTTTGACAATATAAAAACAGAATCTATATGGAAACAAATTAAAAATATTCCTTTTTTTAAGTCAGGTATAATCAAGATTCGCCATGAAATAAAAAGAAAAAACCGCGAAAATATATTCTCAAAATATCGACTAATTTTTTATAGATAAAATCCAATAACTGAAGTAAATCTTAACCACCGAAAAAATGTTAATCTGAATTTAAGAATACCATCTTGGCTCCTATTTAAGAATATTGTATACTTAAATTAAGTATATATACTATTTTTAAAAAAAGAATGTATACTTAATATTATAAATATATTTTAAGTAGGTATCCTCTTTAAATTATTTTTCTAATATTAAGAATATATTCTTATTTTAAAAATATAGTATATACTTAATTTAAGTATACAATATTCTTAAATAGGAGCCAAGATGGTATTCTTACACGGGAAGACTTTTATTTACAAAAATTACTTTATCGTATTTCGATATTTCTAATAAAACGTAAGAATTTAAGGATAATCGAAGTACGATGATGATAGTTCTTATTATAATAATAAGTAGTGTTATTTTTTATGAACTATTGTAATTTTAAGGGAACAGAAGTTAGTATAAAAGTTTAGAAAGACAATTGCAAATACGAGAATATGTAACTTATTTATAATACATTCTGATATTATTATTTGTAAACCCAGTATTTTGAATAGTATTAAATGTCAAAAAATTTTAGAAACTGTATTATTTTCAATACTAAAACGCTCTGAAATGGTAAGCAGTTTGAATTTTTACAAAATTTTATTACAATATTTTCACGAAGGTTTCCGAACAGTATTCCGTCGACAACCAAAGACCAGTTAATGTTAGGCGAACACTCAGCAAACAACCGAGCGTCATCATCGTCTTGAAAGTATTTTCTT